GTAGCAAGTTTGATGAGAATCGGATGTTCTTTTGATGAGAAATAGCTCATGAAGTGCAAGCAGGCCACGTCCAAGAAATTAACAGGCCTGCAGCATGGGAACAATTACCCTGATCAATATCCTATGGACACAGTTTTGACTGCATGGTCTCAAGCTGTTGCAGTTCAAATTTTGTGTGGATCAGATGAATAGTCTAGGAGTTCGAAAAGGTAAATTTTGCACATTATGCAGAAGAAGAAAATCCCAACAAATACAATAAGACCCCTAAAAGAAACAAGAGGACCTTTCCGACCAGCAGAATGCCACTCGGCATACAAACCACTCAAATGCTGATTCAGCATTTTTTTTCTCTCAGTGCTGCAAAGCCCAAACTTTGAGAAACTGTTCATAGTGTAGAGTATTACCTACTGGGTAGAGAATTTATATTAGAAATGGACCATAGAGCGTTACAGTGGTTGGGGAAAATGAAGGACCCCAGTGCTCGTGTGACAAGGTGGTTTTTGTCCATGCAGCCATTCCGGTTTCACCCTAGTGACGAGCCTTCAGAGGGGGGAGGAAATGTAAAAAGTGAAGGGGTCACTTTTGAATTTGGGTTACCTGTGGTGTCTTAATGTGAATGGATTTTTTCCTCTGCTTGTCTGGTGGTAATGGTGGCATATGAATGGTAGCACATTTGCATAGACTACATTTCCCATCATCCCCTGCTAATACGCACTCACAAAACAGCAATTTTCTACACAGTAGTTTACCACTAAGCTAATTTATTTGCACCAACATCTTTGCGAACAGCGAGGTATCCATTGCTTCAGCTTCATCCACCTTCCACAGAAACACACACAAACATGCACACAACTTGCTGCTTTCTCTGGTCCCTCGGCATAATGGTTCCCTGCGGAAGCGCGCGCCGCAGTGGGAAGGTTCCCTTGTTGCCAATTGTGGAACAAGGGAAGGAGATGGTTTGGCACAGGGGCATGAGTGAGGTCATGTGCATTATTATTATCTTATGCAATGTTTGGTGTGTTGTTCAAAATGTCAGGGAATGTATGTGAGTAATGTCCAGCTATTGTGTTTTGTTTGATAGTGAAAGTAGGTATTGTACTGTAAGTGGTAGTCCTGTGGTACTCAAATCTGTTGCCCCCTCTATTTTTGGCCTGTCCCAATTATCCTATTGGGACCTGGTATATAAGGGGATGGGGCTAAAGTTAGGGCATCTTTTCTTTTCTGGCCTGGACTCCTTGAATGCCAGTATTGATGGTAACGGCTTGAAGTGTGTGTGTGTGTGTGTGTGTGTGTGTATGTATGTATGTGTGTGTCTGAGTGGTTTAGCCTGTAGCTGTGCAAAGCAAATAAAGTTACTTTCTTTTTGCCACCGACTACTGGAGCTACGCATTGTTTTCTACCCATCTGGGTGTTCACATCCCCTTAATGAGGTGGGGGCCTGTCGAGCCCCCCTCCCCCTTTTTTTCCACAGAGACCGACTAGGAAAGCTGGGTTTCTGCTGGAGGAGTTGTTGACTGGGCCAACAGGTTAGCCCATCCTATGGTCTGTGTGGATCCCAGTGCCCCAGTGCAGTGACAGGGATACTGTGCTGTAAAAATGGTGCCGTCCTTCTGATGAGATGTAAAACCGAGGTCCTGACTCTCTGAGGTCATCAAAGATCCCTGGGCATCCATCTAAAGAGTAGGGGTGGTGCCCCGATGTTCTGGCTAAATTGCCCTCTGTGATGCTTTCAAATCTGGCCTCCTAATCATCCCCTATATATAACTGGTGAATTCTCTCATGCCCCTTCACCACCTTAGCTACTGTGTGGTGAGCGTACTGGTGCATCATCCAGGTGGGGGATACACAGGGGGGGTGGCTGAAGTGGCTCCCCATTGGTTCTGTAAAGCGCTTTGGGTGTCTTTGAAAGCACTATATTTGAAGCACTATTCAACATGTATTTATTTAGTCTGCATTTGATAATTTATCTAATTACATCTGAATTTAGTATAAAATGACAAATTATTTAAATTCAATAATCAAAACTGAATCTGGTTAACTGATGTTTTTTGCAGTTTAAGCAACACTAGAACATCAAATGTGACATTCCCGAGGTACGTTTTAACGAAGTTCGACTGTATTATGTATTTCAATCGGGTAAGTTGAATCACTACATAAACTTAGCAAAACAAAGCAAAAAGACACATAAATTCTTAAGCAACTCATGTTGAAATAACAAATAGAGTGCCACTGAACCCCCTTAAAATGTTCAGATTTGTCTGATTTGCAAATGGCACATACACCGATTCATACTGTCAGTGTTTTTTATGATGTAGTCCTGTTGGCATCGTCAAACTGTGATTTGCAGCGTGCACTGAGACGGTTTGCAGATGAGTGTGAAGCGACCAGGATGAGGATCAGCATCTACAAGTCTGAGGCCATGGTTCTCAACCAGAATATGGTGGATCGCCCCCTCCTGGTGGGGAGATGAGTTACTGCCTCAAGCAGAAGAGCTTAAGTATCTCAGGGTCTTGTTCACGAGTTTGATAAAATAACAAAAAAAAAATATTTGAACAATACTGGTGGGGCAGCATGGTGGTGCAGTGGTTAGCACTGTTACCTCACACATCTGGGACCCAGGTTCGAGTCTTCACCTAGGTCATGTGTGTAGAGTTTGCATGTTGTCGTCGTGGGGTTTCCTCCAGGTACTCCAGTTTCCCCCCACAGTCCAAAGACATGCTGAGGCTGATTGGAGTTCCTAAATTGCCCATAGGTGTGAGTGTGCCCTGCAATAGGCTGGCCCCCTGTCCAGGATTGTTCCCTGCCTCATGCCCATTGCTTCCGGGATGGGCTCCGGACCCCCCACAACCCAGTAGGATAAGCAGGTTGGAAAATGGATGGATGGATGAACAATACTGAATTACTTTAATTCTTTTTGCTGGATGCTGTGAGTCATTTGTATTCTCCCGCTCCCACATTCAAAAGTGAAAATGTATCTCATTCTATGTTCTATCCTGCATTCGATTATCTCTCTGAGTCGGAACTCAGATGAAAACGTCACGAAAAACCCAACTTCCCGTCAGAAACACGGCTCTTTTATGACGTTGATGTCGACTTTGTTTAAAAGCAGTGGCAACGAAAAGTGGTGATAACAACTAACTTAAAAACTCCTAAAAACCGGCTCTTAAAAATATGCTGCAAACTTTCAACAAACAGTATGAATTGCTGAAGAAAACGTAAAACTGCCATCCCAGAACCGTACCAAAAAATTTTATTTTGAAAGAGATAAAAGACATCTAATTTTACTCCCCTACTAGTTATGTGGTCAAGCTCAGACCCACATATAACTACTGAGTGAACTCTGTGTCAAACATCGTGTCATTTTATTTATATTTTATTTCGTTAGGATATTTTTGGACATTCCAATTACAATGTCTGAATATTCTTAAGAATTAAAAAATCATTGTTTTTTTAAATGGTGTACTTGCTTTATTATGGCGTTATCATTATATCAGAGGCATAAAATGCTCTTAAAATAATAATATCATTTATCACAATTATTTCTGGGATAATATATCGTCAACAAAAAGTTGTTATGACTAGGGTTGCAAAATTTTGGGAATTTTCAAAGTCAGAAACTTTGCGTGGGAATTAACGGGATTATATAGGAATTAATCAGAATAAACTAGCAATTTGCTAAATTGTAGGTTACCCTACACAGGGAACTTAAATGTAGTTGAAAAAAAACCATCTTTATGGCACTAATAGTGATATCATTGTGTAATCAAATGCTTGTGAGTAATGATGTGTGCATAAAAACACCCCAAAATAAGCATCTGCATCAAAACGCACTGCATATAAGTCATATCCATTGATGTGTTATTCATAGTTTGCCTTCTTTGCTGTATCGGACTGCTGGCATTCCACAGAGTTCTATATTTCCAAAACTCCTCAGCTGAGCTTCCCGTGGTGTCGTCCCCCACCCACCTGACCCTCCCATTTCCTCCCTGTCATGGCCCTAACGAGCCACACCTGCTAATCGTAATGACTTACCTCTTGTTGTTGCCTTTGGCTTACTCAATGGGGGGTCCTTACGAGGCAGAAATGTAAAGCGCATTGAGACAATGTAATGTTGTGATAATGCGCTATATAAATAAAATTGAATTGAATTGAATTGAATTGAATTGAATTCTGCCCTTGTGTTTCTCACTCCAGCTGCCTCATGTAACCTTGTATAAAAGTGCTTCCCAGTCCTGTCATCGACGCCATTCCCTTCATATGGCCCAGTTCTCTCACATGCCTGTTTTCCTGGTTTGACCACTCGTGGTCTGCTTTGCATTTCCCTGCTCCTGGTTTGGTGTAAATAAAGCCCTTTTGATCTCCCTCACACCTGGCCTCGACCCCCTTGGGCTCCAATCATGACACATGGAAAGTTTCTGGAAATTTTCCACCCCTTTGCAACCCAAATCGTAACAGGCCTATCAGAGTACATTTATTTACTTTTTTTGTTTTGAAAATGCAGTGGGGAAGTTGGTTAAGGGCCTTCCTGAAGAGCTCAGTGGTGAGATCACTCTGACCACAGCCACAGTGTTCTAACCAGCAGAGCTACATGCTGCCCCCAGATTCTTAAACTAAATTCTCACTTTAATTTTCAGCCTATCATCAACAGCTCATCCATTGGTTTTGAATAGACGGAACTGACTTTGTCACACGGACTTCTTCTTTCAGCCACATTCAGCTGATTGTGCATCACCAGGAAACAAATAAAAAAAAAAAGACAAGACGACCAACAACCAAGGAGCGAAACGTCACCTTTCAGAGGAGCAGCACGCAGGCGGCAGGTGTAGCTGGACCGACCCGGCGGAGATGAATCGCCAACAGACCATCGAGATGAACCACTATGAAAGCGACCCTCCGTCACAAGACATCTACGAGACTCTGCACTCCAAGCCGGCAGAGACTCGCTATAGATATGTGGGTGAGTGCTTACTGTCGGTTTATTTACTGCTTTTTACCTCTGCTATTTTGCATCCTGTCCAGGGTGTGACCCCAGCTGCGTGCTCTCTGAATGGACGGGTATTTAGACATGCAGTACATTTAAGCCATTTTCCAGGTCTTTACTAACGCAGTCAACATATAGTTGATGTCATGAACATATTTCACCTACTTGTATTTTATTAATAGCTGAGTATTTATGAACACGTCAGGTGTTCACCATTATAGTGATGCTGTTGATCCTGCAGGCGTAACATTAGGCAAACTGGTGGTTATTGTGTGCATGTGTGGACACCCTGTGATGCACTGGTGTCCTGTCCAGGGTGTCCTGTGCTTCCAGGGATATTTTCCGTGAACCTCTACAATAAGTGGTTATGGAGGATAGATTGATGGATGAACGACTTTTTAGTGTACATTTATAATGAAGATTTACAGCGAGGGTCAACGGACTGCAAATCCCTTTTCTTAATGCTATCTATGGTGCATGAAAGGGCATAGGAGAGAGTTTGATTTTGAGGAGGAACAGAGGTTGCTTAGACTCTCGTCTTTTGATGGAGTAAAAATTTTGTCATAGTCTATCATTGCCTGTCATTTAAATTTTTTTTTTTTTTTTAATAAGAGTAATAATAACAGGCATTTAAATCATTGCTGAAATAATTTAAATTACAATTTAAATATTACCAGCAATCATTACATATGTTTTTTGTCAAAGTCACCAATCAAACTCAATGGGCAGGCTCTTAAAAAAACCTAAAATCTGATTGGTTACATTGGAAACCACCTGACAACAGTTCAATCTCGCTAGTCGATTAAATTCTAATTTTGCCTGTTCTATCCTGGAATTTTATTGCATCCTAACTTTCCAAAATCTTGAATAACTTTAGGATAACAGCTGTTCTAACCCAGCAAACATTTGGACGTTTGATGACCGTTGAAATGACGTCCCTCCAACACGTCCCGTCATGGTTGAAAAATAGTTCCGAAATGAAAGTTGAACAGACGTCTTTGACGTCAACTTGCCGTGTATTCGACATCTTTTCGGCGTCTTTTCTGGACGTTTAATGTGTCGTCGTCTGGATGTTTCTAAGATGTGTTTCTGCGTTATGTCAGTGTACTGATTAGCCT